ATATAGTCCGGCACACGATTATTGACTTCTTTCAAAATATGATTCCTTGCATGCGAACAGAAAAATATTTTTTATGCATCATGTTTCTTTTTAAAATTGGTGTTTTACAATGGGCTTTGCTTTTAAATGACTCATATGGAATTGTCTTTACAATGTCAAATCAACTGATCCATATTAATTTGTTACACATATTTGGTAAATTGACAACAAACAAACTTTGCCTACAACTAGACATCCGACTCTGAACCATCCTCCACAATTAAGCATATTCCTCAAAAATCTCGAACAAAGTCAGAAAATTAAATTTTAGCATCATTTGCAGCTGCATGCAAAGTGCTGATCAGCCACCAGCGACTTGGCGCTGCAGCTGCCGCGCATCGGGTTCGCGCATGGGCCGGCGCGCGTGGTGGGGGTAGGCTGTGTAAAGTGAGGTGGGTATGGCAATCTAGCTGCCTGTATTACATTGAACTTCAACGTCCTCCTAGCAATCAGTTCATAGCTATAGACACAATTAGTGCATTTCGTCGAGACGGTTGAATCTTGTTGAATATTTTTCGAATAATTTTGAGTCGTTTCGGCTAGAGGTTGGCCGGCCTCGTACAAACAAAACAAACATTTTGTTCTCTACTTTTCTGCTATCTGACAATCTTTTGGAAAGGTGTCATTTTAAGTTGTTTTTTTTATTCATTAACTTATGTGCCATCTTTGCACTGCTTCGGTATAAGATTTTAGAATTGAAGTAAATCGTGTTGTTGTTTCATTCCTGAGTGATATCATATGTCATTGCAAAATTGCTTTTGATTTCTGAAAGAATTTGCTCCGCTCTGCTTTTGCTTAATGATGGACGCTACTACTAGTAGCTTTTGTGATTGCGAATCGGACTTGGACAATGTTAAATGCCATTGTGGAGAAGAGTTTGATGGTAAACTTTCTGTTAATTTCTGTTTCAGAACAGTTGTCTGGTGTCAGATAATTCATCAAAGTTTGTTAATCCCAAAATTTAACTCAAATAATCTCTTTCAGCTAATGAATGGTGGTGGGAGCATGCTCCATGTGACTCTACTGTCAGGCTAAGCTGCAACGAACGGGAAGTGCTTTTTAACCCTGTTTACAGTGTGGGTACAGCAGCTGTCAGGGGTACTATGCCATTAATTCAAGGAAGGCAATATCTGTGGGAAATCAAGATGCTCTCATCTATTCATGGTACAGATGTGGTTAGTGTCCTCAGCCAATTTACATTCACCATATTTTGTTTCTATAGTTTCTTTTCAATTGTACTTTGTTGTCTTCTAGGTTGTTGGCATTGGCACAGCTCATGTTGATCTCGCTGCTCACAGCCGAAAGTTTATTGCCCTTTTGGGTAATGATGCAGAATCATGGGGCTATTCGTACAAGGGAGATATCATTCATGGCGGAAGCCGTGAGCCTTATGGTCCAACTTTTGGGAAAGGAAGCATTGTTGGAGTGCATCTTAATATGTGGACAGGAACATTGGAGTTTTATTTAAATAGACAACGCTTAGGTAATTTGTATTTTCAAAACCAAGCATTACCTAGTTTATTAATTTTTTAAATCAGTTCTTGAAATAACACTTGAACTTTTTTTAGGTGTGGCTTTTAAAATACCGAAGAATCAGATTCTGTTTCCAATGATCTGTTCCACGATGGGGAATTCAGCTGTTAGACTAGTAACTACTATGTCTTGGGCAGCTTCACTTGAATTAACATGTTTGCAGTCTATTTCATCAATGCCATCACTTTCTGATATACCAGGGTTAAAGGCGATATGGGGTAGGACATTCTGGTGGCAGCAGGCAACAGGTATAATTTTTCTTTCTGTTTCCCATGCTATTATTTTCATTTCATATAAAAGTGGTTTATTAAAATTATTATTCTTTAATTCAGAGATAAAGAAAAAGTCTGAAGAACCTCAGTCAACTGAAGCAAACTATGAGTTAGAAATCATCAGTAGTGGTGAGGAAGAACAAGAAAAGATCTTGAGGACTCGCAAAGTTGTGCGAAGTATCACAAGGAGACGTAAGTACTGTCTGGCCAGGAACATTTTCATTACTCTGCTTATCTCGTCAATAAAATTTTAAACTTTTCTCTTGCAGGTCAATATGCTAAACTTTATTACTGATCACACATACAATCAGAGGTACAGAGTGTGAATGACGTGTGCTCACAATATTTTAAGATATTTTATATAATCCAGTGCTTCTATTTCCTGTAATTTTTCAGATTTATTTTTTATGTCTCAATTGTTACGTTTGTATGAGTTTTAGTGTTTTTCAGTACATAATTTTAAAGTCCAAATGAGATTTAATGTACATACTTATAAATCATTTGACAAATCTAAAATTGTCCTCCAATTTTCCCATCTAATTATGGACAATTTATTGTGATATGTTACCTGTGCCTGTACTGTACCTATTACCTCGTGAGGTGTTGTCTATCAATGAATCGTTTGACCTGAGCTGCTTTTAGAACTCACAGCTCTAAATACATATTTATGAGACGTACTAATTGTTTGATACCTGCTAGTCATCTAATGTAAATCTCTGATGTGGAAAGTTGATTGAAGGTGGTGCTTTTGTTTCAATTATGACAAATAATTACTGGACCAATTAAATGTAGAATTTAGGTAGCTCAAGCAAAGATTATGTTAAAACAAGAATCATTGCTTTTATTGGTATTAGTATATGTGAAATGTTTGTAGTCTATTTGAGTTCAACTCATAAATTATGTAAGGACTGATGTTAAAAAGACTGCAAGATATTTTTCCCTTTTTGAGTAGATTCTGCATAATTTCTAATTGAGTAATGTTGGCTAATGCTGATGGTAATAATAAAAATGTTAAAGATTTTACAAGTCATTGATTCCTTTTTTCATTCATTCTAAATTGGATACAATTAACTGTACATTGATTGTACAAATTAAGACTAATTTGAAAATACAATGTTGGTTCAAAACCATATCTGCCATCACAATAAGCATTTACACATACCCATAATGTTGACCGTCATAGTACGCTCTGTCACCATCTGTGGTCTTGTGTCTTAACCTTCTACCAATTGGTTCTAAATCTTCATAGCAAAATGGAAATACTTTTTCTATAACCCTTATTGCTTCATCTTCAGACAGTAATGAAGCAGCTATTACAGACTGCATTGCTCTTTCCTTTACACACAGAGCATGCATTTTACCATAGTCCTTTTTAATCAAATCCGTAAAGCTCACAAAGCCAGAGATAAATGAGTCAATGAGACTACAACTTGTAAGATTTATGGCACGAATCTCTGTGCATGCTAAATGTTCTGGTTTTTTAAAATCAGTATTATTTACGCAGTGATCAAACATGTGAATCAATTCGTGAGTCAAAATTGTAGCCATTTTACCACTACTGGCAACATTATTCTGACAGATTACAACTTGCTGCGTCTCAGCGTCATACCCCCCTAAAACTCCATCGCAACAGACTTCACAAGAAAAATTTCTACGGATGTCAACAGGGCTGCAAGAAAATTGAGAGACTGGGTAAACTTACAAACAATATTGAATCCTTCTAGAAAATTGTCAAGATGCACTGTGGATGACACCAGACAAACACATTGAAATGCAACTTACCAGCCAGAAGAATTTAATGCTCCAACCAACAGTTTTATTAAAGGCTCTGAAACACAGAAAATGTTGTTCATTATGAGATACAGGTAATATATGGTAACTATTTCAAGATACAAAATTCAGCTGTCTTCGGGCTACTTACCACTCTTAATAAGACTGTAAAGAGTTTTCTCACAAGAAAACCTGGTAATGTTTTCTCTACCATCAACCATCATAAGCATCCTAGACCAAGATGGTTTGTAGCGGACATTCCCTCTCTCCAAATAATATTGAGATGAGGGACTATTTTCAACAATGATATCTGAATAAACTTCTGGCTTTTCAGAAATATTTGGTTTTTTCCCCTTTACAGCTTGCGGCTGATCGGTAACCTCATCCTGCTGCATGAAACTTTTTTCCGTTGATCTCTGATCCTGTGAAGAGACACCTTCATGGCTCTTATTTTCGGGTTCAGCCGCAAAAACAAATGGTACTAGTTTTTTGAAAATTGGAAAAATCTCCATGACTTTCTAAAAAATTGCACATTAGAACACAAAGAACACAAAACACGGCTCGAGCCGCTGCTGAATCTGAAATCTGAACGCAAGCTGGTTGGAAAGCAGACGATGCCAACTAAACGCAGTACACCGAGGTTGTAGTGCTGATAGTCTCCCTGCTCTTCTGGCGGGTTTTGGAACTAAAAGTCATTATTTCCACTCTACTGAAGCATCATCAGCCATTCATCTGCAGCTTGTCCTGTTTTATTCCTTTCTAAGTTTTGTAAAATGTTTAGTTGAATGCATTAGATTTGGTTTTTACGACCATAAAATGACAATTTTACCGTGTTTCCTCGATCGTTTCCGCGCTATTCATGATACTGAAGCGGTATAGATGTAATCAATTCATGTGTGTCGTACTGTCGTCTCGGTCGTTTTTTCTTTACAATAAGTGTAAGTATTCTACTTTAAAACCAAAGTTCTCGTTTATTTTTTTATTAACTGGAACTGGTCGTATACTGTAAATTGACCAACAATTCCTGTACCCATCGCGTTTATCAGTGCTGACCTAGGCGGTGTTTGTTTGGCGCCGCTTGGTCTGCGGTGCCGGCTCGGCATGATTTATCAGTTTTGTATGATATTAATACATTTTTTAGAATTCTTTCCACTAAATTAGTTTCGGTCCAATTGTATTTTACTAACGTTCTGCCATATATATTATCGGGTGAGCCACTTGAGAGCGACGTCAGAATCCGGAGAACTATGCTGTGACTGGATAGAACTGATTTTTTTTTTTCAAGAATAAAAAAAAAAAAAATACATTTTGGTGCGTTACTGACAGAAACAGAAAGATGCAATCTTGGTTATTCTTGTTTCGCTTTCTAGTTAATTAAAATTGAAAATAAAAGACGAACCGTAAAGTCAATGGTTAGGTATACTAACATTTTTAAGGTTATGTTTTTTTTGACAATGTTGTCAACCTTACTACTTATTCCTCAATTTCTATGTTGGACGTTTTATATGCACTTGTATTATTCTATTAAAATGTGTGTATCTGAGATATATCCTGATTTGATTTCAAAATTGCTAATTTTATTGCAGATTAATAGCTTTGAGTAAAATGTCGAAGAGACCAGCTGAGAATTCCGATGGCAGTGGGCAGCCTCCTGTTAAAAAGGTCCAGTTTGAGCCAATGCGTATTGGACCAATTTCAACCCTTGAAGAAATGGACATGAAAGTTTTGCAATTTCAGAACAAGAAACTTGCCCAGGTTAGTTCACTTTCTACTGTTTGTTGTTCCTATTTTTAGGGGGGTTATTTATTGTCAAATTTCGGACATCTTTATCCTTCTCTAGTTCTAGTTCCTTAATTTCTCTTATTTACTGCAGAGACTTGAACAACGCCAGAGAGCAGAAGCTGAGTTGAGACAAAGAATTGAACAGCTTGAGAAAAGGCAAACTCAAGATGATGCTATGCTTAATGTGGTAAATAGATATTGGAATCAATTGAATGAAGATATCAGAGTCCTACTTCAACGCTTTGATGCTGAGACAGCAGATGAATCTGAAAACAAAAGTAAGACCCTGCTGTATTTTCCAAAGATAATCAAATCTACCACCATTTTTAGGGAAACTTTTGTACTAACATTGGCATTTACAGATGAAAATGAAGCAACAACTTCATTTTTGATGCAACTGTCCACATGGGATAAAGAGGAACTAGATGAAAAGCTTGCCAATAGAGTTCAAGTTTCAAAGAGAGCTGTGGCCAAGGTCATACAGGCCTTTGACAGATTAGGACAACGTAATGAAAAGATTACCCTCGCTTTGAAAGGGGAGCTAGATGGAGGTATCACTATCAATATTTGCTGTAAACATTTGTTCAAAATATTTACAATCTTTAGTGAATTATCCGCTTATAATTTTAATATTTTCCCCATGAAGATGAAGCCCCTAATATGGATGAGACGATTCGGCAGGCAAATATAGAAGTTCAAGCAGAGAACCGTAATTTGCAAGCTCTCAACACCTCATTACATGAGAAGTATCACACTATATCATTAAAAGTAGGGTTATTTTTCCTCTTTTCTGAGTCTGATCTCCATTCATTTCAATATGCTAGATCTAATCTAAATATTCATTGCTTTTAGCTTGCTGAACTTCAAGATCAAATAAATGGGAAAGAAACTGAAGCTGCAGAACTGCGTAATCAAATTGACGATTTGCAATATGAATATCAGAAGGTTTCACTGAGAAACGACAAATTAGAAACTTCTTTAGCTGACGCCATTGAGCAGTTGAAAACTTACCAACAAATGCAGCAACAACAACAAGTTAATGAAGGTAGTTCACAACCCAAACCTGTAAATGTTGTCTCCACAGTGTCCCAAAAAAAGGTTTGTTTTATAATCTCACATACTGAACGTATCAAATTATGATCTTCTTGAAATTACTGTCTCCTCTTTGTATTGGCTCATGATTTCAGGTTGAAGATTTACAAAAGGAGTGTGAAGAGCTTCGAGAACTCTCAAACAATAGGCTGCAGGAGCTTGATAAACTGCACATGCAACACAGAGAGACACTTAAAGAAGTTGAAAAGCTGAAAATGGATGTAAGTCCTGTTATTCTTTGGGTTATGATTTTTTTTTTTTTTAGAAAACTAACCACCTTTAAATTTCTCTGTACATTCAGATAAGGCAACTTCCAGAGAGTGTTGTTGTTGAAACTACCGAATACAAATGTCTCCAATCTCAATTTTCTGTTTTATACAATGAGTCAATGCAATTAAAAACACAGCTAGATGAAGCAAGGCAGCAATTACAAGGTAGCAAAAATGCTCATCTACGTCAAATAGAAATGATGGAGGTATGTGTTGTGTTCCATGTGCCTGAACTATTTGATCACCTTTATTTTAATAACTTATTAATTACATTTCTTTTTTTATATACATACAGAGTGAAGAGCTTTTGGCACAAAAGAAGCTCCGCACTGAAGTCATTCAATTAGAGGATCTTCTAGCCCAACTTCGTAAAGAGTATGAAATGTTACGCATTGAATTTGAACAAAATCTTGCAGCTAATGAACAAACAGGGCCAATTAATCGTGAGATGAGGCACCTTATCACCTCTCTTCAAAACCATAACCAGCAATTAAAGGGTGAGGTCCATCGCTACAAAAGGAAGTACAAAGAGGCCAATAGTGAAATCCCAAAGGTAAAAAGAATTGTATTTGATGCAACGTGATAGTAGAACCTAGGTTCTAATATCATGACTTCTCTCATGTGTGAAATTTCTGTTAAGCAAGAACTTTTTTTGTGTGTTTAGTTGAAGAGAGAAATTGAAGAACTTCAGCAAAAATTAGAAGAACATGCAGCTTCTGAAAAACAAGAATGTGCATCAAGTGAATCTTCCGTCAAAGAGGAAGAAGAAGCAAGCTCAGACCTCTCAGCAAGCGTAAAAGATGAAACTATGTCCATTAAAAAGGAAGGGAGTGGCGATGAAAATGAGGTTTGTTGTTTGTTTTCAGACTGCTTCACCCTCTCATTTCTAAACTATAGTGTCAACATTTTTTGTTTTATTTATTAGCAGCCAGAAGAGCCTGAAATCGACCCTTCATCCATGGATACGTCTCTTATGTCCCCCAAAGACACTAAAGACATCAAGCCGGGTGCGCCTGTCCCAGCTCAGCCTGGTGCTCAGGCCCAGGTTAGTTTATATTTCTACCCTTTTTTTTCTGACTAATCCTCCTCTCTCAATATTCGTGAAATTTACCCTCCCTATTTTCTCAGCCTACTGCTCGACCAACTCAAGGTGCCACTCCAACACCTGGAGCTGTAAACGATGTCAAGAAAGAGGTGAAATGTGAACCAGACCCACAACGGCCGAAAGATGCCAAGGGACCTGAATCAGATTTAGTTCGTGAGCTACGTGGTCAATTGAAGTAAGTATTTATTTCCATTAGATCTTACTTCACCCTTTTGCATTACAATGTTTTACATTTTTTCTGGAATGGTTACAGGAAAGCTCTTAATGATCAAAAGGAAATGAAGCTACTCCTGGATATGTACAAAGGAGTTAGCAAAGAGCAAAGAGACAAAGTTCAGTTAATGGCACAAGAAAAGAAAAACCGTGCAGAACTGGAAGAGTTGCGCCAACAAATAAAAAAGATTCAGGTATGGGTAGTATTTGGTTTTTCTTATCTATGTGAGTGGAAAGATATCTGAACCTCTGACAAACAGCCAACAAGCCTTCACTTATCTTGAAGAACATGCAAATCATTTCTCTTGTGATTTAATTTACTGTTATACATGTAACTGTAAATCGGGAGTTGACCAATTAAACCTAGGTTTTACTGGGGCAGTTTGGTATAAGCCCAATGTAGGATGGTGGGTCCAGGGTTTGACCTGTTATGTTGGTATAATTAGGCTTTTACCTAGCGCAATTGCTTTGATCTTTTACAAACCACTTTCTGGATTTTTTATTGGGGAAGTTTTGCCTGGTTTTGAGGCTCTCCAAACCGCAACTCTGCTTGCATACTGTATAGACACCGTTTTACACGCAGTTTTGACACCTCGTAACACGGGGGCCGACTTATATGGCGGAATTCACGAAACAGACACAATTTTCTCAATTTCAATATTTAAAATTTTCCAGGAAAGCAAACGTGAAGACAGAAAGAAATTGGCTGATGAAGATGCTATGCGTAAAATAAAACAGTTGGAAGATCAAGGTTATCAGCTTCAAAAGCAATTGGCAACTCATAAACAGGTATTTGTTAGCATACCCATATAGTTGCTACTGTACTTTGCTGTCAATCTCAAATCTTTCTAATTTATTGCAATTTACATTAAAGGAAGAAGAGGCCTTGTTGAATGAAATGGAGGTAACAGGACAAGCCTTTGAAGATATGCAAGAGCAAAATTCAAGGCTTATTCAACAGCTTAGGGAAAAAGATGATGCTAATTTTAAATTAATGACTGAAAGAATCAAATCAAATCAACTTCATAAATTAGCAAGAGAAGAAAAAGATGTATTGAAGGAACAAGTAAGTATAATTTTCATCATTTGCATCCTCACTCAGTTTTAAATGTATACTTAACATCAGAATATTTCAACTGAATACTTTCAACACTTCATTTGAATTTCAGGTAATGACAATGACTACTCAAGTAGAAGCTACCAATCAGGTAGTCCGCAAGCTAGAAGAAAAAGAACGAATACTTCAAAATTCTCTGGCAACTGTGGAGAAAGAGCTTGCTTTGCGGCAGCAAGCAATGGAAATGCACAAGAGAAAGGCTATTGAGAGTGCTCAATCTGCTGCAGATTTAAAACTTCATCTAGGTAAGAATTGTATTAATTTTACAATAGGCACCATAGTACAAAATTTTCATGAACCGCTTTTTTTTTTTTTTAAATTAACTCATTTTACTTTTCTGCAGAAAAGTACCATGCTCAGATGAAAGAAGCGCAACAAGTTGTTACTGAGAAGACTAGCTCTCTTGAAGCAGAGGCTTATAAAACCAAGAGACTTCAGGTAAATCATTTTGAAAGTGCTGATTGTCAATGGTATTGTTTTACTAATGTACTAATTTTCTTGTTGAAAATTTGTATTCTGCAGGAAGAGATTGCACAGCTACGTCGCAAAGCAGAAAGGATGAAGAAGATAGAGCTAGCAGGCACTTTGGATGAAGTAATGTTAGAGGAAATTAGGGAGTATAAGGAAACGCTTACATGTCCATCCTGTAAAGTTAAACGCAAAGATGCTGTCCTCTCCAAGTGTTTCCATGTCTTTTGCTGGGACTGTCTTAGAACAAGATATGAAACGAGGCAGCGCAAGTGTCCAAAATGTAACGCAGCTTTTGGTGCTAATGACTACCATCGTTTGTATCTTTCTACATAATCTTAAAGACTTAATTTAAATTTTTTGAAAATATTTTAGCCAATCTAAATCAGATTACATTTTCTATCTGATTCATTGTGATATCCTATGCCTAATTTGTTAGGAGACATAGATAGCTATGTTCTTTGGGTTCCGACCTAGTTCAGACTTGATCAGAATGGCAATCAAAGTTGGTTTATTCATATCGGCAGTATGGTGACTTAAGTCTTCCTTGAGGGTCCCGTGCGTAATATGATGTTTATAACAGGACCAAATCTTCCTGTAGTATTATATTTTCTAAAGTTTGTTTACAAATTTTCTCTGTTGTCTATCATGTTTCCGTGAACTAAGTCCAGATAGCAATACTGTATTTTTTTCTTTATTTAAATCATTCCTTTTAGGGGAAAGAAGCATGTCATCATTTTCAATCTCTTGGTTGTAGGAATGTATTCTTTGAATTTCAATTTTGAGGGATCAAGGCCAGAATTTTAGTAATTAACTTTGCTTTAAATATTGTGAATAAGGGAATTGCATTTAACTAGATACTTCACATTAGAAGTCAACTTGTATTCTCAAGTACTACGAAATATTCGAGGCATCCTCATTGTGGTTTTTCATTTTTCTAGCCTTTTAATTAACAAATTGCATATTTCGAGATCCTTAAGATGGGAACAAATTGACCTTTTGATCGTACCTATTTATATATACTTGACTTAAGTACTATGAACCAGTTTCTAATTCCAACCATGCAATGTAAACAAAGCAATTCAAGTTTCATGTTATTTATTGCTTAAATTTTATATGTTCATGAGTAGTCGGAGCAGCTCAGCTGTAGTCCATTTTTCCATACCTAGAAGTATTCTCAAGTACTGTGATATTTCATTCTCAAAATTATATCTATGTATATTTGTATATGAATGTGGAATAGTCCTTGTACATAACATGTTACCTAAGCTCAATTCAGCATTTGTAAGGCTTCCACTCTCTGAGATATTTGTGTCATTATCTCTGTAGTCCTTTGATCCAACAAAGTACCATGTGGAAGTTTATACTACTTATACTATTAATGAGAAGATTATAGTTCCAATTTTCTCTTTACAGCTCTTTGCTTCATGTGGACTCACTTATATTATTGTGAGAAGTCCACTTTAAGACTTTATGAGGAGATTTTCCATGCCTGATAATCTCTTCACTAAGTCTCTTGGAAGTCTGTCTTCCTCAATTCGGTCTGGGAAAATGGACTTACAAGCTAGGATTACTTATGTTTAAGCTTGGCATGTTTCTGTGTGAGTTGTATTTGATGTACATATGTGGAACTTTCGTATCAAAAGAAATAAATGCTGTTGGATGTTCTAGCATAGACAAATATTGTAAAATGACTTTAATTGTTATACTCCTAACTCAAAATTATTATCTATAGACCTGTTATGTGTCCTTAAACTCTAAATTGTACATTTTTTCCAAAAGAAAGCTGGGCTCCAATTCCTCAGAAATTTCTTGAAAAACGCCATTTAGAATATCATCACACATCCTGAAAAAATAAAATAAAATTGTGAGTACTTGCAATAGGTTGATCTAGAGAAGTTATCTAATAACAAGCATACCTCTGAAGAACAGGATTCTGAACTTGTGAGTTATATTCCTGGAACCTGTTTTTATAACTGAAAATACGCTGTTCGGGTGCTTTCCTCAGCTTTATAGAGTTGTCACCTAGTTTTGACACAGTAAAATATATTCTTCTTTTATGAAAAAGTAAACAGAAAACGATGGAAGTTAAATTAAATTACCATGATGACTGGTGGTTATAGGTGCAGTGGATGACAATGTCTGCAGAACTCTGTTATCTATACCACCACATAAAGGGTCTGCATTAGGCTCAGTAAAAGTTGAATTGCCGGTTGCCCATACAACTTTTTTTGTTTTTTTGTTTTCTCCTAAAAACAGTGACATCATAGTTTTAAAGTTACAATTCCTGTCTACTCATAACACCGCTTAACAAGTTTTACAATAGATACCCTCTTGGTGTGACTTTCTTTCAGACAGATCTGCTGTGTCTGTTGCTGCATCTCTAAAGTCTTCAGCATCAGTGTCACAGTGTCGCGTTATGACTAGTTGGACATTGTCAGAAAAGTTTTTAACTTTGGTTCTGATGGAAACATGAATGATGCATTAGTTAAATAAATATAGATTGCAACTGGTACAACAACAAACCATACTTACAAAGGGTAGGTGGATTTTTTATTGGTCAAAGAATTTTTATCACCACCGGTCTGAGAGCGATGTCTCCCTTTCCTTTTTCTTGCAGCAACTTTATTGCAAAGTACATCATGCATATGTGTGACTATTTCCTTCAGCTCAGAGTTACAACAGTCACACTTTTCAACATTTTTCATGTACTTCTGTGATAAGATTAATCATAAAAAGTGGTAATACAGACTCTCAAAAATTAAGAGTAAAAGCTAAATACCTTTTCATGTGATTGATGTCCTCGTGATGATGTGTGAGGGCTATTACTGCTTCGAATTGAAGAAGGAGCACCAAATTTAGCACGTGCCAAATATGCTGATGATTTCTTCCATGAGGCCTGGTGTACCAACCCATTTGTGTGAAGTACTGGGGGCTGACGTCGGGAATTTGAACTACCTCTGGCACTAGTAGGAGAACTAGCACGGGCACTAACACTTATTTCTTCTGGCTCTCTTTTTTTTTCTTCAAGTAAAGTGAGAAGTTCTTTACACTTAACATTAACTTCCTGAAAATTTGATTAATTTATTAAGTACACATGGCATAGAATAAAATAAGAAAAAGTAGGAACAAGCAGAACATACATCTGTGTCTTCAACTTCGTCACAGCCATCCATTAGTCCTGCATGGATACTGAGTTGATTTTTTAAGGAAGTAAGTTCACATAGATGGTGTAAGAGGTCTCTCAGTTTTCCAAAGATGTTTGATACTTGCAATGATGCTGGAATCTGTGACAAATAAGCCTCCCGGGGAAAAGGACAAAGTTGTCGTCAGAGTTTATATACTATGGGGTCAAAATCTATATCATCATTTTGTGTATTAAATAAATAGTAGTAACGAAAGAAGTCCTGAACAGTTGATTAATTGACTTAAATTACCTGTAGGCTTTGGAGGGCTGTTTGATGAGCTGAAACAAGCTTTTGCATCAATGCCTGATATTCAGTATGTCGTCCAGGAGTTTCTGGAGATGCAGATGCAACATGGCGGCGCAATTCTGCCACCTGTATCAGAGGTCAGAATGTTCAGCTAAAAGTCCTACTAAATTTTAGAGTATACTCAATATCTTTAAAAAAATTAATATGGAAGAGGAGAGTTTGCATTACAAACTTGCCTGCCTCTGAAATTGAAAAAGATAATTTCGGGAAAACCGGGAGAGAAATTCATTGATACGAATTTTCCTGCGCTCTAAATCATCAGGTCCATCGGGTTCCCTTGGACGGCACTGAATCATTCCGGTAATACTCTCTAGCACTAAGCTTATTCTATGGCGGAGTAGTGCAATACGCTGATGAGTCCCAGTCTCTCGAGATGTTAATCCACCATCTGTCAAAAATATACAGATTTCCGATGTACTTTCAACACACACTTTTACAGATAGGGCCGACAACAAAAATCAAAGTAAATTGTGCTTTAAACAGGAGGCGCACCAGTAGGCAAAGCACTCTTTGTAGGAAAATTTGGTTCTTCAACTTCTGGTGGAATACTTTCGTGGCCGGACTCTGTTTCTACATTTGTCTTCATGAAATGCTCGTCTCTTGTACCATCTAAAAGCTTCACTCATGATATTAAAAAAATTACAATTAGTAGCTTGAATGGGAAGTGTATGTATACCGATTAAATAATCATATACTAATAGATCTTACCTGAGAGCAATGCTGACAAGTTAATTGAACAGCCTTAGATTCTTCCAAGTTCACCTAGAGAGACAAAACATTTTCTTAGATTGAATGACATTTATTTTCTCCTGCTGCAATGATATACTTTGAGTGAGCAGCTTTACCGCTTGTTTGGAACAAGCTCTCTGACTTTCTTCCACAAAACGTTGCCACTGCACAGCATCCTTTTCTTTCTGCTTTTCTCTACGTACTTTGCGTACAATTTGCAAAAGTTCTTCCTCAGCGACATACTGCATAAAATAAAACAATGTATAAAAACATTATACAAGATTCAACTCTGTTTCCCCTTCATAAGGATATCTAAATAACAAAAGATAACAGATAATGTCAGGAAGCAGTTGAGCAAACAAGATTACCTTAAACTTGAAACCCTCTTGATTCGACTGTTTGGATGAACTATCGGTATATTCCATGATGTATGCATAGAATGATAAAATACTCAGTAGATACAGTGCATTTCATAACATTACTGTGTAAGACTTCATTCGAAACAATAAAACAGACGAGCGCTTCTTACACTTTCTCTTTAATAAAGATATATTATACTTTTAGTTATATTGTACAAGAAAAATAATACGGGAGTGATTTGCGAGAGAAACGGTAAATAATGATGTGTGTTATTAAGGTTAAGTTTTGACAAGTTTGAGTTTGTTTAGGTTGACGCGCCGGGTGCCCGCCCGTTGGCTCCGTTGGTGAACACTTCGTCCAATCACAAAGTAGAGGGAGAAGGAACAGAAATACTCTGTAGCATGGGGTATCCACGATTCTTGCCAGTATCCCGTTGTTGCTTTATTGTTTGAACACTATCGGAAATTAATTTACAGTTATGCTCTCGCAATCACTTCATGCCGCCGGTGCATTCCGCGCTGTTGTGAAGCCCACTCTTAAGTAGCGCTCCCGGTTGTAACCCTCGGTGTTGTAGAGCCAAAGTCGGAGCTCATAGGCCGTGCTCGGCTGGAGGGACTCCAACTCCAGCTCCATGCTGTGAGGAGAGACGTCCACGGGGATTAGTGTTCAATGCTAGATTTGGGCATTGCCCGATCATAACCGCGGAACCATCGAAGTTTACCTCGTCGTCAAGCCGGAGGACGAATGCTCGACCGGGGAGCAGCCCTGCGGACAGACCGCCGCCCGGAAGAACAGCTGCCACCATGTGCCCGACACGATGCCGTTCAGGTCAACGCAGGACTCGGGCATCCTCCATCGAATGGTGGCAGACACGTTGCTCACCGAGACCACCCCAGGGCCGGCGGCGACGCCAACCCCTGCTCCCGACTTGTCGGCTACCTCGTCGCCCTCGACCACAGCCTCGGGCACGGCGTCCGGGACTAAAGGAACCGTGAGAAGAGGTCAGAGACACCGGGATCTGTAGTCGTAGCCTAAAGATAGGCTACCTTCTGCGTACCTGTGAATGGAGTTGTAAAAGTAGCGCACTCGGCTTGTTCGCGGGCCGCGTTCTTGTGGGACACCAACACCCGGTATGTCGCCCCGGGCAGCAGCCCTTCGACGCTGGCACTCGTGCGGTTCTCGAGCTCGTCGATGATGAACATGCCCGACGCCTGGGAGCAGTCATCGGAGCAGGCCAGCAGCTTGACGCACTGCGCGGGAATGCCCATAGTGGCGCATGAGTTGAACGTCAGTACGACGTTGTCCGTCCAGGTACAGGACAGATAGGGTGTCCTCTCAAACGCTCACCTCGTACTGCACAAGGACGGCAACCCCAGCGGGGTTAAACCACGAAATGTTTGCCGCGCGTGCCGTTACGTCGTAGACAATGATGTCGGATATAAGACCTGCGAAGTACACGAATCAGAGCCTCGGCCTGTCCAAACGGAGAGGAGGCCTTGCACCCATCCTGCGAATCTTACGTGCCCCGGTGGTGCTGACGCGGACGCGCGGCACGGCCTCGTAGCCTCTCAGTGCGTTGTCGAGCAGGACAACCCGCACCTCGTGCTCGGCTCCCGGACGCAGTCCTCTCACGACGAAGTCGTGTAGCTTGGGCGACCCCGACCAGTTGCTCGGCAGGCGCCCCACCACCGCACCCGACACCCAGTTGCCAGCGCGCAGGCCCGCCCCGTCCGCTTCCTGGCAATCACCAGAGGGCAGTCGTTGACGTCCGCGGGGATGACATCGTGACAGCCAACCGTATCGCTCACCCTGTACTGCACGTCGTAGTACGACACGACGCCGGAACCCTTCACGTTGTCCGTCGACGGGGCGAAGGTGCCACTGATCGAGGTGTCGGTGACGTTGGTGATGTCGGGCCCGACGGTGAGGTGGGTCAGCGCTGTGGGTCAGTAGGCGCTCGTTGGTCTGGATCGCTAGAGCAACAGAGTGCGTCCCTCCCAGAGGCTCCTACTCACCGCGTTGGCAGGACGGCCCGTGGTAGCCGGGTCGGCAGCCCGCCGGGCACTGGCCAGTGTACGGGTCGCACTGCGTGCGGTCGGGGTCGCACTGGCCGCAGCTCAGGGTGCAGCCTGGGCCGTACAGCCCGGGGCCGCACACTGTCACGTCACGAACGAAACTTTAGCGGTTGTTCGCTTCAGTGGGCTGTAGTTTGGGCGAAGTCCCCCCCCCCCCCTTTTCCAAACTCACCCTGGTCGCAGAGGAGGCCGTGCAACCCCGCCCCGCAGATCTTGGTGTCCGGCTGCTGGACGTCCTTGAACTGGACTCCCCGACAGCCCCGGCCGTGCCCGGAGCACTTGCTGCTGCAACCGGGGCCGTAGCGGTTCGGGCCGCATGCTGCCGAAGAGGGGCGTGGAGAGGTCACGGCGGAGAGAGAGAGAGGCCGACGAGAGGAGTACTGCAGTAGGGCTCTGGCAGGAGCTATCTCACCTGTCTCGCAGGACGGGCCGTCGAAGCCGTGCGCGCACTCGCAAGAGCCGGACGCCCCTGCGGCGGCCACACCCCCGTTGGCGCACTCGTGGTGTTCTGCAGGGGCAACACAAACAGTCCGGCTCTGAAAGCCATCAGCAGATTCGGAGCAACCTATTGCAGTCGGAATCGCACGCACCTGCACTGGGCAAGAATTCGAGTGTCATGTTGGCGGGCGAAAATGTCTCGCTCCAGTGATCCTTGATGTAAAGGCGGTTCATTGTCTTGGAGAGGGCTACATTGGTCGCCGACATCCCGGTGCGATCGTGGAGTAGCTTGACGGTGAGGAGCTGATCGGAGGCCCGGGTCACGAGGAGCAAAGTGGAAGCCGGGAACTGTCTGGTGGAGTTCTTAGCGTTCTGCCAGCGAGCCGTGTAAGAAGAGTAGTGGAAAAGTTAAATATTAAGAAATTGAAGATAAAAAAAATCAGCAACCGGGTGGTCGGGTATTTGAACTCAGGGCGGTGGGTGTGCTTACGCTTAGGGCCTCTGTTCCCCCCCAACCATCGCTGTTGCAGTCCACGAAGGCCTTGTACCGGATGGCCCGCGCCTTGCTGGTCTCGATGCTCCACAGCTCCACCTTGCTGCAGGCCTTGGCATCGCACATCATGAAACCCGCCACCACGCCGCCACTCCCCGTCACGTTGAGTCGCACCAACACCAGCTCCCCGACCTCGACAGTGTCGCCCTGCTGCCGGGCGCCGTCGACCGACGCCACCGCGAGCAGCACCAGGGCGGCCGTGACGACGACCGCGGCGTGCAGTTGGGGCGGCATGCTGCAGCAAAAGGACGACGGTGAGTGCGGCGTGCGAGGCAAACCGACCGCTGACTTTTCTCTCCGCTATCGCATGGGAGTGCGCGCCGCGGGAGGAGGAGGAGGGGACCACAGAGTGAGGGAGACCTCTGCCCCTAGCCTGGACCAGGACCGGGACCGCGAGATAGCGAGTCGCAGAAACAGTGCGAGTGAGTCATAATCTCGCGGTTCCAAAATCGTTGGGTCTCGGTGGTTCTTTGTCAAATCCAGAGTCAGAGTTTCTGTTGGAAATACGAACAAAAACACCGGATTGAGCGTATAATGATAAACTCAAACATTTCACTTTGATGGAAAAAGGAGATTTTGAACCCTTCGAAATAGTCGTATTGAGCCACGTAGGTGGAAGGGATAGTGTGTATGTGTGTGTGTGGGGGGGGGGGGGTGCAACTAAAATCGAACCAAGGCCAGAGGTGTGCTCCGTCCTCCGCGTCGCCTTTGATTGTTGGCTGTTCGCGCTGTTCACGCTCGCTGCTCCTGTCGCCCGCCGCACCGCGCCGCGCCGAGCAGGTCCGCTCGTTGTCAGGGGCAGCAGGCGCGCGCGCGACACAACAGGGTGTGCGGCGGGGTGCGAGCAGCAGCGGAGCAGCAGGGATGAAGTTTCCGACGTTCGTCACCCTGAGGTCAGCAGCAGCCGGCGCGTGTGTCTACGTGGCGGACGAGAGTATCTCATTGCGACGAGCCGCGTGACGTCCATCATGGTCTGCCGCAGGTGCATACCGGCGCTGCCCGGCGGCTGGCAATGGCGATCCCACCGGCCCCCCTCGGAAGCGGACGCAGCGGATTGCTCCGCGCCCCCTGGACGCGGGCGGCGGGCCGGCGGGGCCGCGGGTCGCGTTCCACGCGCCATGTTCGTGGCTCTCATCTGCCTCGTGTCGTTCGTCATCCTGTTCCTTGCGGCCTGCTCCCGCTTCAGGCCGTACCACGTGTTCCGTGAGTGCTCGCGGTGCACCCTACCCCCTGTGTGCCCTGCCCTGCCCCCCGCAGCCTGACGCGGACCCTCTCTGTGGGCAGGCCCCGGACCGCGCCTGGAGCACGCGCCCCTACAGACACTCAACAGCAGCTTCCTCGTGGACACGCCCGGCTGCCGCATCCCCAACCTGGCGGTAGGGGGAATTGATGCTGTCTTCATTTTTAACTCACGAAGGAATCGGCGCCCTAGTTGCTTGTTGCCGCTGCTCCATAGGTCATGAGCCCCGAGGTGCAGGAGTTCGTCTACGACTACGCCGATGTGACGTGTGACGACCCGCCGCCGCTCGTGTGGTCGGACGACGAGTACCTCTACCTGATGCGCAAACGCGCCGGCCTCTACGGCGTCAGCCCGTCCTCCTTGCAATGCTGCATGCGCGCCCTGTGGCTGCAGCAGGCAAACTTCACCCTGCCGGAGCTGGACGGCACAAACAACTCTCGGCTGGCCGCCTTCACATTGCCCCCGGGCGGGAGTGCGAAGTTCGGCGACGTCATCGAGTGAGTGAACGCCGTGGAGGCCGGGCCGACCCGCCGTACGCCCGCGCCGTCGGGTTGCCTACCCCGGCCTCCACAGGCGCCCTAGCCCCGTGCAGGCCGGGCCGACCCGCCGTACGCCCGCGCCGTCGGGTTGCCTACCCCGGTCTGCACAGGAGCCCGGGGCACGCTGTCGTCGCCGTAACATCGCGCTGCTCGCCCCAGGTACTCGGATGAGTGCACGCCGATCCAGGATGTTACCCCAGTTTTCGACGAGTTCGTGCGCGTGGAGTGCACCTCCGAGGGCACGGAGGTGTACCGAGACTTCCACGGGTTCGTGCGAGCCCAGCGGCGCCCGCGCCGGAGACGGGGCCTTAGCGTGCTGCTCCTGGGCGCCGACAACCTGTCGAGGCTCAACATGGTCCGGAGCATGCCCCGGACGCTCGCCGCTCTGCAACGGCTCGGCGCCGTGAACATGCTGGGCTACAACAAGGTGGACGACTACTCGTACGTGAACCTGGTGCCGCTGCTGTCCGGGCAGCCCAGCCGGGAGATGGAGCGGCGGTGCCTGCTCGACAACTCGGTGTTCTTCGACCCCTGTCCCTGGCTGTGGAAGCGCTTCGCCCGCCAGGGCTACACCACGGCACTCATGGAGGACGCGGCGAGGCTCGGCTTGTTCCACTTCCACAGCCCCGGCTTCGCCCGCAAGCCCGTGGACGTGGACTCCAGGCCCCTGCTGCTCGCCGCGGAGCGCGAGCTGCCCAGGTCCAGGGCCCGGGCCGGCAACACGTCCCCGGTGTGCCTCGGGCCGCGCTTCCAGATCCAGGGCCTCTTCGACTTCGCTCTCAAGTACGCGCCGATGACGTAATACTGGTGCTAGGCTAGGCCTAACAGAGTGTCGTTCCTCACGGGTTCCGTCGGCGTCGACAGGTTTGTACGCGCCATGGTGCAGACTAGGACGCCGTTCTTCCAGTACGCCTGGGGCACCTCGCTGACGCACGACTACCTGAACCAGGCGCAGATCGCTGACCCGGTGTACGAGCGGTTCCTGGAGGTACAGTTAAACACCGACCGAGATGACGCCCCCGTCCTCCCGCTCCACAATAACACCTCGCTTTTCTCCTCCACAGGAGCTGGAGGAGACTGGAGTGCTCAACACCACAGCCCTCGTGTTCCTCAGCGACCACGGCAACCGGGTGGGGCCCATCGTCTCGACGTACCAGGGCCACGTGGAGGACCGCCTCCCCGTGCTCAGCTTCGTGCTGCCACCCTGGATGCACCGCCGGTAAGCTGGTCTGGTGCCTGCTGGCGGCTAGTGGTGTTGGACTCAGCTCACGCTGAGTTGCCCGTCGTCAGGTACCCGGTGGCGGTCGCTAACCTGCGGCACAACGTGCGCCGCCTGGTCACCGTGATGGACGTGCACGAGACCGTGGCGCAGCTCACCGACCTCGCGTCCCTGGAGGAGCCCCGGCTGCGCGCCGCCGCCGAGGACCTCCGCGGTCGCGTCCTGGCCGGGACACCGCCGCGCGCCGTCAGCCTGTTCCTGCCCGTGCCGGACACGCGCACCTGCGAGCAGGCCGGCGTCGTGCCGCACTTCTGCGCCTGCGTGCACCTCACACCCGTGGCCACGGACCACCCGAGCGTGGTGCAGGCCGCCCGCCTCCTGGTGGACAACATCAACGCCGCGCTGGCGCCCCACCCGCTGTGCGCGCGCCTCGGGCTGCGGGCCGTGAGGGACGCGCGGCGCGGGGAGCCGTCCTCGCTGCTCGGCCAGCGCCAGCCCCCGGACAGGGTGCGCGAGCAGGAGTTCCTCATCACGGTGAGTGACCATTGTATGGTCCCCCGACCTCCGCCCGCCCGGCAGACGCTCTGACACCCGGATTCGTCCTCTCGACACGCAGGTGCAAACGACGCCCGGGGACGCGCTGCTGGCCGGCACGGTGCGCCACCTGGTGGCCGAGAACGTCATGAGGCTGGCGGGGAGGGTCACCCGCCTCAACAAGTACGGCAACACGAGCTGGTGCGCGCCGGAGCGGGCGCTCATGCTGTACTGCTTCTGCACCGAGCCGCCAGGCGTAACGTGATGGCGGCAGGGGAATAAAAGAGAACAAGACTGCCAAGACAGCTGACTCTTCCTTGACCCCCCCCCCCCCTCCTCTGTTTTCCCTTACTTCAGGGGGGTGGCCCATTTAATAACGTTGCATACAACGTCTGAGAAAGACAAAGAGTGCGGCCGGAGGGTGTTGGGGAGGACATGGAGGGGCGGGGGCCGCAAGCCCGAGGAGGCAGGGTGGGTAAAAGAATAGAGAGCGCAGAGAACAGGCGACGAAGAATACGAGGATGAGCGGTGAGTTAGAGAGGCTGGGTTGGGAGGGGGCAGATGCGAAAGGGGATGGAGGATGGGATGGTAGGGGGAAGGGGAGGGGGGGGGCACCCAGCCGGAGTCCGGCTCGGCCCGGCCCAACAACCGTGGTCCACGCGAGCGGGTGCGCAGCCGGGGGCCCGGGTAGCGCCAGTCGCCTCGAGTCCGTGTGCACAGCCGCGCCGCCCGCCCGAGCTCCTCCTCCCCAGCTTTGTCACTGCCCGCCGCTGTCAGTCGGGAAGCGCTTGGCGCGAGCTAAAGGGCGGGCAGGCAACAGGCGGTATAGGGGCTCAACAAGTATAGCGGGCGAGGGCGTCAGCCTCCCGGACCCACCCGGCGGAGCAGGGCGAAGCAGCGCGGAGCACATGTAGGGAGGGCTTCAGGTTCCAGCCCACAGCAGAGCGCACCCTGACCCTGGGAGCCTGGGAGGACACTCGCCGACTCAGGTGAGTGCATGAGACGACCGGGGAAGAAGTTCACAATTTTATGTCAGACTGCAGGCAAATTTATTCAGTACGCGTCCTTGAAATTCTTTTTATTCGTGTGTATGCGCGGGTGATTGGGGGGGGGGGGCACGTATTGTGTGTGTGTTTCCACTTTTCCAATTTCGCCCTGCCATTTCGCAGCATAATGCATATTGCGTTGCGTGTGGTTCGCGCTATATCCCGTGACGGCCGACAAACTTTTTTCCGCACGATGGAGCCGCGATCCCTCCCCGCTCCCC